CAGTCACCAGTCGCATCACCTTCGTCCAAACTTAGCAGACCGTGATGGCACAGAGTTCGGAAGAAGTTATGGCCATGGCAGCAGCATTAAACCAGGGAATCGCCATGCAAGGTGAGACCGATGTCGAAATACAACACCCATCTGGGGCACCTACCACACATCTAGTCTCGGAATCCCAATCATCTCAAACCCGTGAGCCGACTACTTCTGAGCTGATGAGAATGATCGAAGATCTTCAGAGAACTGTGTCAGATTTAGCCTCCGGGATATTGGCTCCGTCATCGACCACACCACATACGAGGAATTTCATGTCAAAAGGCTCCCCAATCTTGGGACGGGCTGCATTTGAAGAAGGCCGATCCCTTGGCAAAGTGGAGGTGAGCGAAAAGAACAAGGTAGGGGTAGACATTTGATCATCATGAACACCTTCTGTGGGTTGTTGAGGCTTTGAAAGCCGAAGGGTTGGAAAAATAACAAGTGATTGCAGTTGTTGCAAAGGTTGTGGATGACACTTTCGCCACTTAAGTCGGGGGACAGTTTGAATCAAGGGGCAAGCCGGGAGAAGGGCCGTCATACCAGGAATGTTCCTTTCAGCTCTAATCCCGTGCTCGGAAGAGATCAACAAACCCAGTCAGCGCCTGTCAATCCCTTTGCTGGTGCGTCTAGCAAAACTCCACAAACCTCAAAACACCCACCTCGGGGCCAGAGGGTGTTGACCCCACTGTACATGTCTCTATCAGCAACCTTGAGGGTCCTGATTAGAAAGGGGGATCTGAAACCCCTGGAGCCGCAGCCACTGCCAAACAAACTTCCTCCCTCCCATGATCCGGCCAAGTACTGTGCTTTTCATCAACAAGTCGGCCATGGCACTGACAATTGTTATCGTCTTCGCCACGAAATATAAGATCTGATTGTTAAAGGGGTTATCGTCGCACCAGACCCAGCAAAGTCTATCGGCACTGGATCAGTGCACTTGGAGGATAATGTGATGTGATCAGGGGATAAACCATCTACGGGCGGCACTCAGTTTACTCCAGATGTGGCGTATGGCACGCACTGTTTTGAGCATTTGTGAATGCTAGTTTTTGTACTTTCTGACTTGGGTATTGGGTCAGTTTTGTTGTTTTGTACATAGTCAGTCTTTTTGTACTGAGTCAGTCGGGTCTGTCTTGTTGTATTGAGTTAGTCCTGTTGCGTTGGAGTCGGGTGATTCCGGGGGTGTTACCTCGGACATCACTATCATGTTTTGTGTTAGTCTTTTTGCTTTCTTTTGAGTCTGTTTCTGCCTTGGAGCCAGTTATGCCAACAGATCTGAATGAAACAACAGTGATTTTCACACTCTTGTGTTTGCTTCTGCCTTGCGCCAGTTGTGCCAGAAGTTTGAATGAAACGGCAGTGCATTTCACCTGCTCTTTTGTGCCTTTAAGTCATTGTATTGACCTAAGTTTTTTTTTTAAAAAACTTTTTGAACAATGTGTTGAAAACAAAGAGGAAGGAATTCCTCAGGATTTGCAAAAATTTGATCAAGTGAGAGAAAGAGAGGCATGCTAAGCCCTTAATAAATGAGATCATGTCTGTTAATATGAGTACTAAGAAGGATCCTGGCTTGATCCAGATTGGTTCCGCATTGACTTCAGCGCGAGCGACTAGTCGCTTTCTTAAAAGATTTCAAATTTTTTTTTGCGCGGTCCTGCGAAGACCTGTGTGAAATCGCTCCTGAGATTATACAGCTTAGGATCGCTCTCAGCCCTGAGATTCGACCCCTCACTTTCAAACCTTGAACTTGGATTCAGAATGTTCAACGGTCAACTACAATGTGAGGCCTGTGTGGCCAGATTCGAAGAAGCCCTCGAACTAGGGGCAGGGAAGTCAGATCAAGAAGATGAGATGTCGTCAAAAGAAGCTTGCAAAGCTAGATCAAAAGAAACCCTCGAAATAGGGGCAAAAATATCAGACGTGCTCGAAGAGCCGAAGATGGATCATTCTGCAAATCAATGAAGACTAGCAAGAATGCCAAATCCCAAAAAGGGGAAAGAAGAAAGTGTTGCTGAAGGACAACCAAGTTCTTATCCACAACACTAGGGGCAAATTCACCCTCCATTGGATGGACTTCTACATCATCAACGAACATCAACCATTCTCTTAGATTCAGATGACTCCGAGATCTCAAACCATTCAACATGGACAAAGCTACATTTTTACTCTTGAGAGGCTCGCTGGGCCAAAAACCCGGAAGGGTGACCTAGGCAAAAGTTAGAGCAAGAAAAAAAAAGAAAAGAACAAAAAAAAAGAGAAAAAAGAAAAGTGAAAAAGAAATGAAAAATTCTAAACAAAGAACAAGAAAATGAAAAAGAAATGAAAAGAAAAAAAGAACAAAGCTCGCAAGGTTGAAAACCTAGAAAGCGCAGCCTTAGCAAAAGTTAGAGCGCAAAAGGAGAGGTTAATACCCGAGTGTACCTTAACCCCGAACTACGTAAGGCTTGATTCCCATCTTTGGGATACGTAGGCAACTTCATTCTGAAGCCCAGCCGTAAAACACTCCAAATCGATTGTGCCCATGTAATGGTTTTGATCATCTTTGCTTTCTCTGTATCCGAGAATTTGGTTGTGTTCGTCCTCTGAGGACTGACTACAAGGCGCTGCGGGGCCATTCAAACAAGGGGCAACTTTCCGTTGCCATTCAATGCGCTGTGGTGCCGTTCAAACAAGGGGCAACTTTCCGTTGCCATTCAATGCGCTGCAGTGCCGTTCAAACAAGGGGTGACTGTCTGTTGCCATGCAGCTCCTCTCAAGCAAGAGGCAATTTTCCTTTGGATCCGAGGTTGTGCATCTCAAGTGTAAGTTTCGCGCTTGTTAAGCATCGGCCGTTTGCAAAAATAGTTTTTGAGAATTTTTACTGAGGTTGATTAATTTTCTCAAAAATTGTTCCATCTTTTCCAAAACTGGACCATTTTCTATGCCTTTGTCTACGGCATTTCAAATTTTGGCTAAAAAGGGGCATCTTAAACCCCTCGAGCCTCGGCCTCTCCCGAAGAATCTCCCTTTCTCACATGATGCTACCTTGTACTGCGC